ATCTTAAGTGACACACCTTCAATGCAAACTTTGCACTTAGGATGAATGGATCTCTTAACTCTCACTGCAGAAGTTTCCATATGCAGCAGATGGTGATTAACAGAGAGACCAAAAATTAGCCAATGTGCAGAGAAGAAGAGGCTGCAGACTGCTTATTCCTGAATAGGACACCTATTTCAAACCTCTGCCGCCCAAGACACAGGGATCATGTGGAAGAGGAGACAGAAAGACTGTAAGAATTAGAGGTGTTTGATGACCACAGGGAAACGTTCTTCCAGACAGCTGGTCATTTACTCATATGAGCTCACAGAAATGTTGACTGCATGCACAATTCTTATGTAAGCTCACACTGAACAAAAAACTCCAGCATAGACATGGGGAAGCAGGCAGCCGATCCCATTCCAACCTAAGAAACTTAAAACCAAATAATTTATTATTTTTATTGTATGTGTATGAGTTACTGCCTGCATGTGTGTAAGTGCACTTCTGTCGCGCAATGCCCATTGAGATCATAAGAGGACATCAGACCCCTGGAACTGGAGTTACAGATGGTTGTGAGTTGCCATGTGGGTGCTGGGAACTGAACCCTGGTCCTTTGGAAGAGCAGCCAGTGCTCTTAACTGCTGAGTCATCTCCCCAGTCCCCTGAAATTATATTTCTAATTAATTTCTATTTTGACTTCCCAGGAGATTGATGAAATCAGAGTTCTGTCTCTGTGGTCTGATCACTGTCTAGCCCTAATACTTAGGGACAGTCAATAAATATTTAAGAAGAAATAGGTAAGGGAAACTAGACTGGAAGAAACAGAAATGAGAAGCATGCATGGTGCTGGTCTTAAAAAAAAACTTTATAATAAAAAGACTGGAGATAATGCTAGTGCAGAACCTTGAATGAATAACAAAATCCAGGTTTGTTTTAATGGTTATGTAAGGAAAGTTCCACAAGGGGACTGAGAACCCAGTCTCCCAGATGAGTTCACAGACAGGCAATCCAGAGACCAAGCTTTAGAAGACGTGCAATTTTAGAAGCATCACGGAGAGCACAAAGGATAATGGAGTTTTGACAGGGACCCTTGCCTCTAAACATGAGGAAGAAAAAATTTTAATAAAAATATCATCCGTTACAGAAAATTATACTCATGACCAAAGTATATACCAACTTTTTAAAGCCTACAGCTGTTTCTATTTAGAGTCTCACTGTCTTAAAAGGTGAAACCGAAAAATTAAAAAATTATTTATGTATGTATTTATTTATTTATAATGAAATGAGAGTCAAAGAGAATTGGGTGAGAAACCCTTAGACATGAGCTCTGGTCATCTTGAGTAATTGGCTGTAAGAAGTTCCTTTCACTCATGAAATGAAGGGGACAAACTTCACAGCTCTAAAACGTCACTTGATTATATAAATCGCTAACAGTGCCTCACATGTAGTAGATGCTCAAATTCTTTGAATAGAATTTTAAGTGAAATAAAATAAACTGGAATTTTTGTTTATAATTTCCTCTTAGTGTTATGCTACCCTAGGATTTGCAATGCAAATTCCGTCACTTCGCGAGGCTCCAGAGTCCTCGCGCTAAGCCGAGCCGGAGGTGACGCAACACCCCGGCCCTTAGGTTCCGCTTGCGCGGGTCCGAACGGGGTTTCTAACTAAGCTACTTCACCCACGTACAGGGAAGCAAGCGCGCCCTGTGGCCACGCCCCAACCGGAAGTCAAGGTGTAAGAGGCTCACTTCCCAGCTCCGCCCAGGAGCCTGGTGACGTCACCGTCCGCCCCTTGACCCCCCCGAGGCCCCGCCCCCTTTCCCGTGCCTCCCAGCTGCCCCGGTATCTCTTGCGGCGATGGAGACGTTCCAGCCGTTGGCGGCGGTTTCTAGGGAAGAGGCGTCCTGTTCCTCCTGGGGGACCGGCAGGTGAGGGGCCCACCCGGCGGGGAGAAGGGGAGCGAGGACGCCAGCTCTGCCTCCCCACAGGCGGCCCCGAAGGGCGCTGGATGCCACTGGGCCGCGGGGAGGCGGAGGGGAGCTGGCGGTGGGTGTGGCGACTTGGGCTCCGGCCTTTCGGCTGCCTGTGCACAGCGCGGCTGAGCGGAGGACACCCGGCTCAGCCTAGGGACCCCAGCTTCCCCGTCCGCCCGGCCTGCGCGGTTCTGGGTGGGTCCAGCATCCTTCCTGCAGATCACCACACTTGACGGTCGCCATCACGACTGACTGTGGCTCCGTGGCTGGGTGGTGCCTAGCACCTTTGCTCTCTCGGAGATGAACACTACAGCGCCACGGTGCTCGGTCCTCCAACTGTGAGCCTCCTTTGAAAACTGTTACTGGAGGGACCGAGTCAGGATGAGTCAGTTGCAGTCTGGACACCCCAGGACCCTGTTGATTTGGGGTGGGGGGGGGCAGCAACCGTGTCGTCTGTGTTTGTTTCCCAGTTGTAACCTTGCGGTTTCTTTACTTCAATTCCCAGCCCTGCAAAACAAAGGGAATGTTTGAGTTAGTAGTTCCTTTTACAGTCATCTTGTAATTAATAAAGTACTACTTATATCCTGTCCACTGTAAGAATACACTATGGCAATAAAGAAGTGACCGATTTATTATTTTCAGCCAACGTAAGACTATTCATAAGTCTGTAACTTTTTACCAGTTTCATACCGAAGGGATGCTTCAAGTGCCAGGATTTAATTAACAGTATTGTCTGTCCATGCCAACGCTGGCAAAATTGCCTTGAGAGATATAAATAACCCCTTAGTTGCAGCATTTTTATTGTTTCGTAGATTTTGTTTTCCCTTTTATTATTATTGCTTTTGAGGCTGGCCCCAACTTCCTGTATAGCCAAGGATGACCGCGAATTCCTGATCTCCCTTCCTCGGAGTTCTGGGATAACAAGCATGCACGGCAATGCCTGGCTATTTGAAACACTGAAAGAGGCAGAACTTTGGAAAGAAAGTGCCACGCCTACCATTAAATAGAGTAGGATGTGCATGTAGCAGTTCTCATTTCTAGTCAGGAATTTAATCTACCAAACTAATTGTGCCCCAAATAAGACAGCTAGTGAAAGTGTAGTGGAAGTAAGCTAATAGACAACTACATAATTTTTAGAAATCTTGTATTTCCAGGATATTATGTTTTATAAGGATACTGTTTATATTAGTTAGACACTGTCTTAGAATCCTGTCATCTTCTGGTTTGCTTTCATAATTGGAATCAGTAGTTTTCGTAGTAGCTATCCATTTAATTAGCTAGAAGCTGGTATCATTTGAAATACTAATCAGAGTTTAGTAAGAAAATTGTTGACATTTTACTTACCTATCTTCACAAACCTTTCAGATTATTTGTCAATGCCAGACTTAGAAAATTAGACTCCATCCCTGAACCACATGCTTTTAGAATTCCTTAATTGACAGCAGAGCTGCCCAGATCCTACTATGTAACCTACAAAATTTTGCTGAGACATTGATCTCAGCTCTCCCATTGGCTGGTTCACTCTGCCTATGAATTATCCCTGTTTCCCATATTTCCTTAAAATGCTATCATTTTTCTTTGTGTTTTGTGCTGTGAAAAAAATAGGATACTGTACTGGAAATGGTATATCACTATAATTAGTATACCTTACTACAGTTGTTTCCCCTGAATTTTTTCTTTTACTTCTAAGAGTCATACATTTAACAGATAATTTCTTGATCTTCATTGCTTTCCTTACACCTATTATGAGAAGTGGAGAGAACTGAATTCTGTTTTGAATTTTATAGGCTTGTAATACTAGTAAGACATCAGAAGGGAGTTACTATTTTGGCAGGCATATAAAATCTAGAGGTCAGTACAGATCCACATTGAAAAACAAGTTCAGATTGAGGAGAATGGGCATAGAAAAAATTGCTAAAAACAATAAATGTAGCAGTGATCAAATAACTGTGGACTGTAATCTCAACACTAAACACTGGACAGAACAGCAGTTAGTGAAATTAGCTTCAACATAATTTTTTTTTTAATCTAAGGAAAGTGGTGTATAATAAAACATTTGATATGTAAAGACATTTAATAACTTGTGGATCTAATCCCATACATAATTGAATGTTATGTAATATGAGTGTCTAAAAAAACATACTTGCTATTAAATTTTGGGGTTTATTTTTTTCCCCCAGTGCAAGTAAAAATTTGCCTACCATGTCAACTGAATCATTGGAAATTGACGATGGATTATACAGGTAAGAACCTCAAACTGGAACTTATTTTCTCTAGTCAATCTAATTTTAAATAAGTAACCAATAATCAGTTATTAAATATTAAAGATACTGTTAGACCTGTGCAGAACTTTGCATGTATATCCTATGAATTCTTTTCAAGTTAGAATTGGGGTTTCTACACCACACTATGATAGGCCCATCTACAAGGCCTGCATAATGACAACACCAGTTCACATGCCAGTGTAGATGGGGTAAATTTCACAGGGTCAGGTCTCCAGAAGAAGAGCTACAGGCAATCAGTGGTGCTAAGGGAGAATCAGTTTTCTCCAGAGACGAGCTCCTTGCTATTAATCCCTGGTGGTCAGCTCTAACACACATACACATGGGCACCACTAATTGGACTCAGTACATTATATATATGTAGATATGTGTTTATCACTGTATGTATGTGTATGTAACAATAAGCAAAGAAGAGGACAAGAAATCGAGAAGACATAAGAGGGACACGGAAGAGTTGGAGGAGAGAGTGGGAGAGGTAGATATGATGCAAATACTCATATATGAAATTCTTTAAAATAGTAAAAAATTATTTAAAAAATAAAAATGTTTCTTCATTGGGATTTCTGGGGTTTTTTATTGTTTCTATGATTTTTTTTCATATATGCAGTATGAAAGCTTCAATATTTAAATAAATCTCAGTTTCTTTAGATTTAAATGGTGAGGCTAAGAAGGATTTTGCTGTACAATACAAAAATACGTGTCTTGGATTTGGTTAAGAGGATTTATTACTGTTCTTGGTAGTATAGGAGTTTCATAAAAACAAATCTAATTCAATTTAGTTATATAGTCACATTTAGAGACTGATTATTTCAGTGTATTCTCAAGAAAATTTAATTTATAGATAGTGGAAAATATGTGACAGTTATAAATGTAATATAATAAGATTTTTAACTTGTTATAGATTGAATATGAAATGTCCCCCCACACACTTACCTATTTAAATATTTGTTCTCCAGCTGATGATTTTTTTTTTTTTTTTTTTTTTCAGTTTTAAAAGAGCTCATAAGTAGTTTAATTATTCTGCTGTCTTAGAACTCACTATATAGACCAGGCTGGCCTTGAACTCACAGAGATCTGCCTGCCTCTGCCTCCCGAGTGCTGGGATTAAAGGCGTGCCCCACCACAACAGGCCCAACTGGTGATTTTATGTGGGAAAAGTGTGGAAACTTTTCCTAGATAGAGGAAGTTGGTCACTGGATGTGGGCTTCTGAAGGTTATACATCCTCCCTCCAGTTGTTCTAATGTGAGTTGCTCAGGTCTCCTACACATGTCTACCACCTGCACAAGACCAAGCAACTAGACATGAACCTTCTGAAACTGCAAGCCAGATCTTTCAGCCATTAAGGTTTTCTGTCCATTTTTTGTCAGATGAGAAAAGTAAAACTAGGAAATCTGGAGAAACAGAATTCTGAGGATGAATTTCCTAATTGATTGTGGTTTTTAATTTGATTAGTCTTAAAGTTGATGAAGACTTCTTTTAATAGTGCAGAGAGCATCAATAATCTGTGCCATTAGCTGTTTAAGGAAATACACAGGTGTTTAGCCATATGTATATGTTAGCAACACTAATTGAACTCTACATTATATATACGTGTGTGTGTGTGTGTGAGAGAGAGAGAGAAAGAGAGAGAGAGAGAGAGAGAGAGAGAGAGAGAGAGACCGGGAGGAGTTGGAGAGGAGAGGGCAAGGTGGGGTGTTGTAAATACAGTGCTCATGTATGAAATTGTTGGAAATTTTTAAAAAAATATGCAAAATAAATGCATTGATAATCCTAATTTAAAAATTGTGAGAGGCAGAGAATATAGTGACTCTGAACATGTGTGGAACACTAGAGATAATATTGATTATTGTTTCTAGCCTCTCTGGACAAATGACAAAGAAAAAGAATGAACTCAGATTAAATTCCTTAGCTCTTGGTATGTGTAAACAAATCCGGGGGTCAAGGAGTTAAGATGAGATCTTCATGGTGTAAAGAGAACTGACACCCCCAAATTACCCTCTGACCTCAGCACATGGGCTATGGCAGGTTTACACCCACGCTCAAAAATATACACACCATTTTTTTAAAGTTTTTAATAAAAATAAAAATTTCAGGGAAATTAGAATTCTGAACTAGATTTGCCATATGAAAGCCTCTTCTCCAGGAGCTGGAGAGATGGTTAAGTGAGCAGTTAAGAGCATCGTCTGCTCTTACAGAGGACCAGGTTTGGTTCCCAGCACCTCACCGTCTGTAACTCCAGTTCCGGAGGAGCTGACATCCTTGTCTGACCTCCATAGACATTGCAAGGCACAGGTGCGCTTATATACGTGCAGACAATACACTCGTACACATAAAATAAAAATAATAAAATACTTTTTAAAAACTATCCTTTACACTGGGAGGATCCAGAAAATGTATCTTGACCAATACTTTAAGAAGCAGATTTGTGGGGGGAGCACCAGCATTCTTGAACTACACCGTTGCTCTTCTACCTAAAGACTTTACAGTGGGAGATTCTGTCATTCAATTGGGAACTTAAAGCATTATGACCAAGGAGTGGGATGGTCAGGATCCTGTAGGCAGCTCCTCCTGAGAGGGTGAGGCTTAAAATTGGGAAGATGAAACAACTTTGGCTAGCCCAGAATGTTGGGGATTCTAGTACATGAACTGTGTACCCAGGAAAGCTGTAGGCAGTGAGTAGAGTTAAATGAAGGTAGAGGCCATGTGGGCTCCAGCCTGTAAGGCCATAAGAATAGGGAGCCTAAACTCATTCGTGTTCACATTATGATACCATATGCTGTAGATGCTGAACAAGGAGCTATAGGTTTTAGTATTTACCCTGCTGGATTTTGATTCCAACCTTCTCTACCCCTATTCCTCCCTTTGGGATGGGAATATTTACTCTGATGTGTGATCTTAGAAGTATATAGCTTTGTTTTTTATTTTATCTTGTGTCATAGTAAAGAAATTGTCTTTAGTGTCAGAAGATGCTTTGGGCTTGGACTTTTCAGTGGTATATGGGAACTCAGGGCTGGAGAGATGGCTCAGCAGTTAAGAGCACTGGCTACTCTTACAGAGGACCCTAGTTCAGTTCCCAGCACCCACATGACTACTAACAATCATCTGTAGCTTCAGTTCCAGGAGATCCACTGCTTTCATCTGGCCTCTGAACATTGCGTGAGTGTGGTGTACTTACAGACATTCAGGCAAAGGACTCATATACATAAAAGTAAAATTTTTTTTGAAAAGATTGGGAACTTTTGGAAGTGGACTAAGTACATTTATATTGTGAGATGACTCTGAGATTTTGAGAGTTGGGGCAAAATGGTATGATTTATATACGAAATGCCCCATATACATTCATGTAAATGCTTATTTCCTAGCTGATAGTGCTCTCTGGGGATATTTTCTTCTCTGTGGGTTCCAAGGATCAAACTTTGGTTGTCAGGCTTGCACCAAGCACTTTTACCTGCTGAGCCATCTCACCAGCCCCACATTTTTTTTTTTATGGTTTATAATGATCATCTTTTAACTTTCTACAGTGTATTTTAAAGTAATACCATCTCATATAGTATAAGAATGATGCTGCTTTTTCCTCTTTTCAAAGATTTGTCTTAATAATTACTGTCTTACATTTTAGTTCTACATGTATTATAAACTCACAGTGTATCATTATTGCAGGCTTATGCACTAAGTTCTTAAATAACTAGGACAGGGCTAATGACTCAGAGGTTAACAGCACTGTTTGCTCCTGCAGAGTACCCAGATTTGGCTCCCAACACCCACAGGGCAGCTCACTACCATCTGTAACTCCAGTTCCAAGGGATCCCCCACCCTCTTCGGGCCTCCACATACTTGCAGGCAGAATTCTCATATGCATAAAGTAAATAATTAATTTCAAAAGATTGAAAAACTTATTTTTATCTATTTGTATCATTTCTAATATTCTCCATGCTCTTCTGCAAATTCAGATTTCTCTTTATTATTTTCTGCCTGCTTGAGTAACATCGTTTTACCATTTCTTAGAATTCTTCTAGCAGAGGCTTCTTTCTGGTTTTATTATGTCTGAAGAAGTCATCTGATAGTCTTCTCATTCCCTTACATAATGTACTCTGCTTACTCTAGCCACTTTTAATATTTTATCTTTTTTCCTAGTTTGTGATACACCACTATGCACGTTTCCTTATATTTCTTGTTTGGAAATTATTTTGTTGTAGTATCAGAATTTAAATTATGGGTTAAGAAATTGACCATTAGTTGTTTTTTTCTTTTTTCAGCCAAATGAAGTCCCATAGCTCTCTTAATGCTGTTTGTGTTTCCCACCTTTTTTCAATTTTGGAAGGTTCAGTTTTGGATCGAACCTTCTATCTCTATAGTGTCAAATCTGTTGTTAGTTCCTTTTTTATCTTAGATTTGTAGTTTTATTCTCTGAAGATTATTTTTTTCTTGTGTTTCTCTTTACCTTCCTGAGCATAGGGATTATGTGTATATTGGATACAGTGTTTCTGTCTTTAGTTCTAGCGTCTGTGGCTTTATGAAATGTGTACCTATTGACTGCATTTAGTTCATTATATTTCTCTACTTTTTTGTACACCAGGTAGTTTTTTTACATATGCCAGGCATTGTAGATTTTACCTTTTTTGGAGGCTGGATAATTTTGGATTATGTAAATATTCCTGAGCTTTATTCAGGGACACAATTAAATTACTTGGAAACTGTGTTTCTTTCCTGCCTTGCATTTAAGCTTATTGCAGGAGGAAGTCTTTAAGTTAGTTGGGAGCTAAATTTTCTTCACTACTGTTGTAATACCCTCCCTAATAGTCTATCTAATGCCTTTTGTATTGTGAGGTTTCTCTGCTCTGCTAGAAAGAAACTCAAACTTTTTTCTGGCTCAATTTAAACAGTAGTAATTGTTCCACTTGCCCTTTGTGGAGATTCTTTCACCAGTTTCAGATTTTTCTTCATATGTGTGTGCTGATTGATACTCAGCTTTAAGTTGGAGAACCTTCCGTGAATCTCTGGTACTCTTTCTGATTCTCTCTACTTAGGGGTCTTCTACTTAAAAATCCTAGCGTTGGTTTTGCTTTAATTTCGCTGTATTTTTAATTTGTGTGTGCATGTGTGTGTACATTCCACTGCACACATGTTGCAGTCAGAAGATACCTGGCAGGAGTTAGTTCTCTCCCTTCCACATGTGATAGAAGGAACTGAACTCAGCTCATCAGGCTTGGTGTCAGGTACCCTTACTTGCTGGGCTATCCTTGCTTTCTTAAATTTACAACTCTTTAATTTAGGGAGACCACCAGATTCACAACCTGGAAACTTTCCAGGTAATACCTAAAATGAGGCTTAATTTGTTGTTCTCTCAAAGATTGATGTCTTGAAGTGCCTGTTTTCTAGTATTTAAAATGTTATTTCATTTATTTTGTTCAGTTTTCAGGTATTTAAAACAGGCAAGCAGAGCTGATCCCTGCTATTTCACATTGGCCAAAAGTAGAAGTCTTATGTATGTTATTTTTTGTTGTCATTTATTTTTTTTATGGGTTTTTGTGGGGTTTTTTTTGGTTTTTTTTGTTTTTGTTTTTATTTGAGAGTCTCATATAACCAGGGCTGGCATTAAATTTGCTTTGTAGCTGAGGATGAGTTTGAATTCCTGATCCTCCAGGCCTGCATCTCGAAAGTGTTGTGATTACAGACATGGAACACCAGGCCTAGTTTATGCAGTGCTGAGGATTGAATTTAGGGCTTTGTGCATACTGCGCAAACATGAGCCACCAAATGAACCACCTCCCGAACTCATGCTACATGTTGCTTATGAATCTTCATTCTTTTCTTTTCCCTGGCCTTTTGAGTTACTTTTCCTATCTTGATGAATCTGTGAACTCGTGTTAATTCTTCAGCCTGAATGAGCCTAATTTTGAAAGCTTTCTAATCTTTCCATTGATAAAATAATCATTTCTGTATCCCAAGTTGCCATAATTTGGGGTACTTTGACATAATACCTAGCGTTTTAGAATTAATTGTCTCTCACAGTGATATCCCATAGGATGCATTTTTCTAAGTATGTCATATGATATGTAACATTTATAGTACCTGTATGAGGTTCTTGCTGTTAGGTTTTCTACACAGTGAACCTAGCCAATGTCTAGAATACTATTTTTAGTAAGTCGTGTATATGGATAGTAAAGATCAATAAAGTATATCCAGAAGAAATTTTTTAGAATATTGAGGGAGACAGAAAATGATTACATGTTAGGAATTACAGAGCTGGAGATACTAACTGTAAGAAAGAAGTTGCTGAATTGTAAATACAATCTACAGATCTGTTAAAGAGAGATTAGATGAATTCTGTATGGTTTCAAAGAAATAAAATTAAGATTAGTAGATAAAACCTATAGGAACATATTGTTCCTTCAGAAAAGGTAAACTTTTTAGTAGCTTGGACTTTCTCAAAGTAAAAAGCTATGGCAATTTCTTTTTACTGGCTGTATTCACTAATGTATGGCATGCTGAATTAATATCATTGTAGTAGATCAGAAAAAAAATTACTGATCATTTGCATTAATCAACATGAATCTGGAGAGACTCAGCAGGTAAAAGTACATATGCTCTTGCAGAGGACCTGATTTTGGTTCCCAGCACCCACATTAGACAGCTCATAAACTGCCTATAACTCCGGTTCCAGGGGATTCTACTTCCTGTTCAGGCCTCCATGGGCACTCACCCACATAGCACATACACATAAATCAAGCTTTAAAAAACAAAAAGCCAGGAGCATGGTTATACCTTTAATCCCACCACTAGGGAGGTAGAGACAGGTAGATCTATTTAGAGGCCAGCTAGAGCTGCATGTAGAGACCCCAACTCAGAAAAATAAAGATGAAAAACCACAGTCTCCGAGAAAATCTCATAAATGTAATTTCATGAGAAATGAGACATTCAAAGTGATCTAATTCATGTAAAGTTGAAAATAGGCAAAGATGGTAACAGATGTTCAATAAGGAATAAATGGATAGCTTGTACTTTCTAAAACTAAAGTCTTAAGTTCTGATTGAAAAAGAAGAGTTTAGGCTAGGGATACAACATCAGTTGCAGATTGCTTGCCTTGCATGCTTGAGTCCTGTGCTCAATCCCAGTGCAAATAAACAAACTTATTTTCAAAAGTTTAGGTTTTATTCTATTTTTGTAGTGAATAAGGAAAGGAAATAAAGGTAGCTTGCATTTTAAACTTTTTATCTAACTACAAAAAAATAACTTTTGGGCTTTTTAATGAAATTCTAAAACATGCAAATTATTTATTTTAATATACATTAACTATGTGGTGTTTCAATTTCAAAAGTAAATATTTTTTATTTTTTTAGTAAAAGATATTTTAACATATATTATGGGACAAGCTCTACACTGAATTATTTACATGTATTAATTCATTATACAATCACTCTGAAAGATAATAGCAAGCTAGATCTAGGACTTGTAGTCTTATCTACAATACTGTAAAGATTCTGTTGGAAAAGAGAAGTTGGTCCTAAAATACTGGGTCACATATCTTGAGAATCTTGAGAATACTTCTTTTCTGATAAGATCCTCTGTTTCTTTTTTTTTTTTACTCTTTCTTCTTCTTTTATTTATTTTTCTATGGGGCTTTTTATTCTAACATTCACCCTCTGAAGAGATAACCCTAAAATCCTTTAAGGATTAGATACAAGCTCCCAAATACTTTCAACATTTTTGGCCTTT